CTCCGCTTGGTTTCCCCGATGTAGAGGAAGCCACACCGGGTACAGCGGATGCAGTATACCACGTTGGCAGATGTGCAGGTGAACATCTGCTTGATGTGGAAAGTCTTCTTGGGGCCTGGGATGGGGGTGAGGGAGGAGGTATGGGGGCGAGGGAGGAGGTATGGGGGCAGGTGTAGCACTTCCTGCGGTTGCAGGGAAAAGTGCCGGGTGTGGTGGGGCTGGAGGGGAGTGTGGAGCGGACAAGGGAGTCACGGAGAGAGTTGTCCCTCCGGAAAGCAGATAAGGGTGGGGAGGGAATGATGTCTTTGGTGGTGGGGTCGGATTGCAGATGGCGGAAGTGTCAGAGGATGATGCGTTGGATCCGGAGGTTGGTGGGGTGGTACGTGAGGACGAGGGGGATTCTTTTTTGGTTCTTATTCCGCCCCCACGCTTACTTCTTTAACCGTGAACCTAACCCTCCCTCTACTGACCCCTTCTCCCGCTTCCAACACACCCCCTCCTCCTGGACACCACCCCAAGGCCTCCTACCCTCCCTCGACCTCTTCATCTCCAACTGCTGTCGAGACATCAATCGCCTCAACCTCTCCACCCCTCTCACCCACTCCAACCTCTCCCCCGCAGAACGCGCAGCCCTCCGATCCCTCCGCTCCAATCCCAACCTCACCATAAAACCCTCGGACAAGGGAGGCGCAGTTGTAGTATGGCGCACTGACCTCTACATCGCCGAGGCCGGACGCCAACTCTCAGACACCTCCTCCTACCGCCCCCTTGATCATGACCCCACCCCTGAGCACCAAACCATCATCTCGCAAACCATCCACAACCTCATCACCTCAGGTGACCTCCCACCCACGGCCTTCAACCTCATCGTTCCCCAACCTCGCACTGCCCGCTTCTATCTCCTTCCCAAAATCCACAAACCTGAATGCCCTGGTCGACCCATTGTCTCCGCCTGCTCCTGCCCCACCGAACTGATCTCCAACTATCTAGACTCCATTTTCTCCCCCTTGGTCCAGGAACTCCCTACCTACATCCGTGACACCACCCACGCCCTCCACCTCCTCCAGAACTTCCAATTCCCCGGTCCCCAACACCTCATCTTTACCATGGACGTCCAGTCCCTCTACACCTGCATTCCCCATGCAGATGGCCTTAAGGCCCTCCGCTTCTTCCTGTCCCGCAGGCCCGACCAGTCCCCCTCCACTGACACCCTCATCCGCTTAGCCGAACTCGTCCTCACCCTCAACAACTTCTCTTTCGATTCCTCCCACTTCCTACAAACAAAGGGGGTAACCATGGGTACCCGCATGGGCCCAAGCTACGCCTGCCTCTTTGTAGGTTACGTGGAACAATCCCTCTTCCGTACCTACACCGGCCCTAAACCCCACCTCTTCCTCCGTTACATTGATGACTGTATCGGCGCCGCCTCGTGCTCCCACGAGGAGCTCGAACAGTTCATACACTTCACTAACACCTTCCACCCCAACCTTAAGTTTACCTGGACCATCTCTCACACCTCTCTCCCCTTCCTGGACCTCTCTGTCTCCATATCGGGCAACCACCTAGAAACCGATATTCATTTCAAGCCCACCGACTCCCACAGCTACCTAGAATATTCCTCCTCCCACCCACCTTCCTGCAAAAATGCTATCCCCTATTCCCAATTCCTTCGCCTCCACCGCATCTGCTCCCAGGATGAGGCATTCCACTCCCGTACATCTCAGTTGTCCTCGTTTTTCAAGGACCGTAACTTCCCCTCCTCGGTGGTTGAGAACGCCCTCAACCGTGTCTCCCACATCTCCCGCACCTCATCCCTCACACCCCGTCCACACAATAAGAACCAAAAAAGAATCCCCCTCATCCTCACGTACCACCCCACCAACCTCCGGATCCAACGCATCATCCTCCAACACTTCCGCCATCTGCAATCCGACCCCACCACCAAAGACATCTTTCCCTCCCCACCCTTATCTGCTTTCCGGAGGGACAACTCTCTCCGTGACTCCCTTGTCCACTCCACACTCCCCTCCAGCTCCACCACACCCGGCACTTTTCCCTGCAACCGCAGGAAGTGCTACACCTGCCCCCATACCTCCTCCCTCACCCCTATCCCAGGCCCCAAGAAGACTTTCCACATCAAGCAGATGTTCACCTGCACATCTGCCAATGTGGTATACTGCATCCGCTGTACCCGGTGTGGCTTCCTCTACATCGGGGAAACCAAGCGGAGACTCGGGGACCGCTTTGCAGAACACCTACGCTCGGTTCGCAATAAACAACTGCACCTCCCAGTCGCGAACCATTTCAACTCCCCCTCCCATTCCTCAGACGACATGTCCATCCTGGGCCTCCTGCAGTGCCACAACAATGCCACCCGAAGGTTGCAGGAACAGCAACTCATATTCCGCTTGGGATCCCTGCAGCCCAATGGTATCAATGTGGATTTCACAAGTTTCAAAATCTCCCCTCCCCCTACCGCATCCCAAAACTAGTCCAGCTCGTCCCTGCCTCCCTAACCTGTCCTTCCTCCCACCTATCCCCTCCTCCCACCTCAAGCCGCACCTCCATCTCCTACCGACCAACCTCATCCCGCCCCCTTGACCTGTCCGTCCTCCCTGGACTGACCTATCCCCTTCCTAACTCCCTACCTACACTCACCTTTACTGGCTCCATCCCCGCCTCTTCGACCTGTTTGTTTCCTCTCCACCTATCCTCTCCTCTATCCCTCTTCTATCCGCCTCCCACTCTCTCCCTACTTATTTCAAAACCCCCTTCCCCTCCCCCTTTTCTGATGAAGGATCTAGGCCCGAAACGTCAGCCTCTCTGCTCCTATGATGCTGCTGTGTTCATCCAGCCCTGCACCTTGTTGTCTCACCTATTAGGACAGTTGCTTTCCTAAAGCATCTTATGATGTTTTGCACCTTCACTAAGTCTACTTATTTTTAGAGGCAAGTACACCTTAACTCCTGCAATAGGACTGTAAGATGAGCATAAAAGCAACTCGGCTAGCACTTCAATCAATTTTTATTCTCAGCAGGTAACCTCTAATTAGTGTCTTTGTAGGTCAAGATGTTTGAAATTCAAAACCCAAGGCTGTACAGCACAAGATAAATGAATCTGTATTCTACAATTATGTCGAATGGCATTAGGGTTGCAATGTGATACACATTGTAATATCCAGATTGTTATATTTTTATTTGCATTGTTTTACATTAATATTACCATTAATATTTAATTACGTTTTCCTAAAGGAAAATGAGAACTAAGTTTCTCTCCCCACAACCCTCAGTTTTGTATACTTATCACCTAACACTCAGAAAAATCACACTTTAAATATATTGCAGAGAAGTAACTTTAATTCACCTGAGCCACTGCGATGCCATACTCTTCAAGTGATTCTGATGATTTTTCGAGTTGTTGAAGAAAATGTCTTGTTGATGGATTTGCTGAAACAAGGAAACAAATGATGCTTCTCGTGGTTTGAATTTAGTCTTGTAGTTCCTCTACAGCTCATGGTAGGCCAAAGATGAAGAAAAACTCATATTCTACCTCCTCTTAAAATAGCTTACTTGCTTATCTTTATTTAAGTTCAATTTGCCTGATGTAATTTGGAATAATAACATTTTTAATAAAGAGGTAACTCCCATTGATATACAGCCATTCATATTCTCAGATAACACCACAGTAAAGTACTTTTGAGGAATATTCAGGACTATTTTGTGGGAAAAGATGGCAACTTATATATAGAACAAAGAACAAAGAAAATTACAGCATAGGAACAGGCCCTTTGGCCCTCCAAGCCTGCGCTGATCCAGATCCTCTATCTAAACCTGTCGCCTATTTTCCAAGGATCTGTATCCCTCTGCTCCCTGCCCATTCATGTATCTGTCTAGATACATCTTAAGTGATGCTACAGTGCCCGCCTGCCCGCCTCTACCACCTCCGCTGGCAACACGTCCCAGGCACCCACCACCCTCTGCGTATAGAACTTTCCATGCATATCTCCCTTAAACTTTTCCCCTCTCACCTTGAAATCGTGATCCCTAGTAATTGAGTCCCCCACTCTGGGGGAAAGCTTCTTGCTATCCACACACACATATCCATATACACACACAAAAAACCCTACAAACAGCAGTGAAGTAATTTTTTTTATTCATTCATGGGATGAGGGCACCGCTGGCTAGGCAGCATTTGTTGCCCATTCCTGATTGCCCAGAGGGCAGTTAAGAGTCAACCACATTGCTGTGGGTCTGGAGTCACATGTAGGCTAGACCAGGTAAGGATGGCAATTTCCTTCCCTAAAGGGCATTAGCGAACCAGATGGGTTTTTCCGACAATCAACAATGGACTCACGGTCATCATTAGATTCTAAATTCCAGATATTTTACAGAATTCAAATTCCACCATCTGCTGTGGCGGGATTCGAACCTGGGTCTCCAGAATGTTGTCTGGTCTCTGGATTAACAGTCCAGCGATAATACCACAAGGCCATCACATCCCCACTAAATGACCAGATAATTTTGTTAAATGATTCTGGTTGAGGGACAGATATTAGCACAAACAACAACTTGCATTTATTTAGGTCCTTTAACAAAATAAAATGTCCCAGGTGCTTCACAGAAGCATGTTAAAACAAAGTCTAACGTTAGCCGCATAACGACAATAATAGAGCAGATGACCAAAAGCTCAGTCAGATGTTAACAGAATGAAGAAAGTGAAGAAGTGATGAAAAGATATTTAGGGAGGTAAATCTGGAGCTGAAGGCCTAGGCTGATGAAACCACAGGCACCAATGATGGAGAAATTAAACATGGATGCTTAAAAGGCTAGTCAGTGTAAAAGTAGCACAGATAACTTGAAGGATGTAAGACTGGAGCAGGTTGCAGAGGTAGGGAAGGATAATGTTATGGAGGGATTTGAAAGCAAAGATGAGAATTTTAAAAAGGGGTCTTGCTTACCAGGAGGCCAATGCAGGTCTGAAATGTCTGAACTAGATTTGGTGCAAGTTAAGACACTGGAAACAGAGTTTGGAACTTATTGTGTACAAAATGTGAAAAATGCAAGGCCAGCTAGGAGTATATAGGAATAAGAAATGCCCTGTTTTTCTGCAAATAGTGACATGGGGACTTCCATGTAGTTCAAATTGGTACTCAGAACCTCAGTTTAACGTCACATTCATTCTGCAGTATCTCTGACATTGCAGCAGTTGTTCAGTATTGCATCAGTCCAGATTATGTAGGTGCCAGCCTGCAATCCTATGACACAGAGGCGAGCGTGCAACAACTAAGCCAAGACTTGGAAACGTAAAAGGGGAAATTATAAAAATTATCATCCGCATGATCCGTTAGATAACAAACATCATTCATCAGGACAACTTACATCAAGCAAACTGTTTCATCTTATTTTATTTCAAAATAAAACTGAAACAAACAGTAAAATTCAGGAGAATAATTCTATAAGAAAACTCAACTTAAAAGCTACACTGATTCTTTTCTTTTTAATCTGTCCGGTCAAGGAGCAGAAAGAAGTTTATACATTTCTTCCAGGACTTGAAATTTAATTTAAAAACAAAATTAAGTAAACATGATTGAGTTATGTTTTCAAGAGTGAGTTGATCCTAGGCTTTAGCATACTTTTCTACTTAATGTATTTATGCTTTAAAGAAATGTGCTTAGATTTGGTGCCATCTAAATGCAGAGTAAACCTCTCACATATTGTCGAAACAATGATCCTTAAATCCAATCTTGGAAAAGTACCAATGACAGCATGACATTTCTCAGTCCTACTGCAGTCACTCTTATAGCCTCGGAGAAACTATGAATTTAGTAGCATGCAGTTCAGAATCATGAACAGTATCACCTCAATCACAATTATCAGAGATCTAAAACGGAGCAAACACAAACTCAAGATGAACAGTGTTAGCCAGTTTACCCAAAACAAGCATAAGAGTTTCCAAACATAATCAATCAATCTAGGGAATGGCTGAACAGTCTTGAAATTTAACTTTTTTATGCAGCATTCTGTTTTAAATATTTCCCAAGCCAGCTCATACGTACCTGTTTTTTTGAAATATATTAAAGATGTTTTTCCTGACTGTAGAATGTTAATGAAGTCTTGCTGATTTAAGGAACGCAATTTCTTTGTACAAATAATTACATTAACAAACCCAACATATAGTAATATCAAACAATGGTAGGAATGCCATTGGACCATTTTAACTGATAGACAAAGGCAGTTCAGATCCGAAGAATTGCTTAAATGTGTTGAATGAATTCCTCAACAGCATTGTTAATATTGCAATCTGGAAAACAGAAATTAGCAATAATAACTAAGATATAT